CCTGCTGATTCTGAACACTGATGTTGGTGGTGTTGCATTATTGAAGTGACATGAATTCAGTGCAGATGGCTAATTAATTCGTTTTAAAGGAGTTTAACGATCTGCCGTACATCACTCAAAGCACGCTACTTAAGATTTTACTGTAAGAAGTCTCTTCTGCTCACCAAGACTGCATTTATTTGATCAAAAGTACTGTAAAAATTGTTAAATATTTTTACAATTTAAAACAGCTGTTTTCTATGTGAATATCTGTTAAACTGGAATGTATTTCTGTGATGCGCAGCTGTATTTTCAGCATCATTACTCCAGTCTTCAGTGTCACATGATCTTCAGAAATCATTCTAATATGCTGATTTACTGCTCAAGAAACATTTCTGATTATTATCAATGTTGAAAACAGTTGTGCTACACAATATTTTTGTGGAAACTGTGATGCGTTTTATTTTTCAGGATTCACACAAGTTCAAAAGAACTGCATTTATTTGAAATGGAAACATTTTGTAACATTATAAATGTCTTTGCTGTCACTTTTGATCACTTTAATGCGTCCTTGTTGAATAAAAGTATTAATTTCTTTAAAAAAATCTTACCGGCCCAAATGCTGCAGATGGGTGTTTTTTATGAAGTGCGAGGGATGTGATTGGCTGTGCCTCTGCCCCGTTGCAGTATGGGAGTGCGAGTGATGGACACCTCCTGGGTTTCTCGGAGAGGCTCCTCCTCCTCGTCTCGTAAGAGCTCCTCAACTCCGCCCAGCATTCAGCCGCCCTCTGATTCGCTGAGCCCTGAGCAGACGGCCGATGTCTCCGCCTCCCCCTCACAGACTCCGCCCCCCATCAGCGCCGATAGGACCAGGTAAACAGAGGCGACCAATAGGAATCCAGCGCACACGAGCTGAGCTCGTCACATGACTGCGGCTCGTTTCAGTTCAGCCAGATGAGGACATCATGAATATTAATGTCATTTGTGACCGTGGAGCACAAAACCAGTCATAAGGGTCAATTTTTTGAAATTGAGATTTATGCATCATCTGAAAGCTGAATAAATAATCTTTCCATTGATGTATGGTTTGTTAGGATAGGACAATATTTGGCTGAGATACAACTATTTGAAAATCTGGAATCTGAGGGTGCAAAAAAATCTAAATATTGAGAAAATCATCTTTAAAGTTGTCCAAATGAAGTTCTTAGCAATGCATATTACTAATCAAACATTAACTTTTAAGTAGGAAATGTACAAAATCTCTTCATGGAACATGATCTTTACTTAATATCCTAATGATTTTTGGCATAAAAGAGAAATGTATAATTTTGACCCATACAATGTATTGCTGGCTATTGCTACAAATATACCCCAGCGACTTAAGACTGCTTTTGTGCTCCAGGGTCACATTTTATACAGTATATTACTTTTGAATATCATCCAAAGCAGCTCAGAATCAATATTTAAAGTGGAAGTTAAAGCAAAGAATAATTCAGTTTTGATTATATTTATGAATTAGTTGGCTACTGAATTGAAACTGGAGTCATTCCCGTCTCTTTCCTCTTTTTAATTTCCCCTGAAGATTAAAATTAATTTATCAGAATTGCATTATTCTGTACCATTATTCACTGATTATCTTTCACTGACAGAATTTGCATTCCTGTATGAACTGTTCTTTTATTTATTTTCTCTCTGTTTTGTTGACTGCGTGAATCCTTTTTATGCATCAGTATTTTAATATCCTCGGTATGTGAGACACTCAACATCACACGCTCCTCCTGTATGTTCAGAGTCACTCTTGTTTCTGCTGATGAACGTAATTAGCATTATTTGAAAGGAATGCTTCGGGTTCAAAACATACGCTCTGTCCATCACATCTGTAGCAAATTAAACAGCATATCAGAAAAATCAGTTCAATTTAATTGTCGAAGTTCAAAATACAAACAATTGTATGTGTTACCTTGTGCTAAAATTAATGATTAATTTTAATTAATATGCATATATAATGCAAAATGCATTCATATTTATTTATAATAAATATTTTTATTTTATTTATGATTCATATTATAATTACAACTTAAAAATAATAGTTTGATTTTATTAATTTTTTAAATAAATATTGAACAAATCAAGTATTAATTAGAATATTAATCAATATGAATCATAAATAATCTAAATGTAATTATTATTAATAATCTATATTAATAAATATGCAATTAATGATTAATTATATTAATATTTATTCATTATGATATTAATTAATATTATTGATTAAATAACAATCACTAACAATAATGTAATAATTGACAATTAAATCATTAGAGTTGAATAATTGATAATAATTTAATTATAATTCATTCATAATTAATAGTAATAAATAATAACAATAATGAATAATTTATTGATATTTATGAACATGAAATAAGTATTAAGTATAATATGTAATATTTAATAATTAACTTAGTTATTGATTATTATATTGATTATTAATTAATTGACTTAATTATAATGAACTAATATCAGTAAATTTTAATAGAATGGATGATTATTTTAATTTCATTTATAAATTGTAATATTAATTAATATAAGTACATAATAATAATAATAATTGACTGACTGTTAAATAATAATTGATTAATTGCGAAGTATGAGTTTAATTATAATTCATTTATAATTAATATTCATAACTATTAACAAATTAATGATTGTATTAGTATCTATGAACATTAAAAAAATATTAATTATAATATTTATTAATAATTGACTGACTGTTAAATAATAATTGAAGAATTGCTAATAATATTTGAATTGAATTACACTTAATTAATAGTCATACATTTTAACTAACTGATTGTATGAGTATTTATGAACATTAAAAATGATTATTTATAATATTAATTAAAATCGATTATCAATTTATTGGTTTAATTAGAGTTATCAGTAAATATTAAATATGATTTACATTTTAAATGATGTTGCCATGGTAACGGCGCAGATGCTGTTGATGGAGCTGAACGTATTGATCTCAGACAGTTTTACGTGTCAATCTTGTAAATCTTTTCAGCTTCGACGAGGCATCATCCAATTGCTCGGACTCCTGTCTCGTCTGTCGCTCCCCGCCCCCTCCGTACCCTGTCTCCTCTTCCTCCTCCTCTTCCTCGCTCCCTCACCCTCGAGTGCGTCTCGAAAGCGTTCCTCCCTCGGCGTTCAGTCCTCCTCCGCTCCTCCTGTCCTCCACCTCTCTAGACATCATCTCCAATTCTAAACCCAGCGTCCCTCTGTCCTCCGAGCTCCTCCCCACCGCTCCGCCGGGGGCCGCCTGCAGCCGAGAGAGAGGACTCAGAGCGCCTAGGTAACTACCACTAACCCACTAACTACCCGCTGGAACACTGAAGGCAAATTTGGGATTATACAGTGCTGGCCAAAATGATTAGAACACTAGTATTTCCAGCAGCTAAAACTGGGTTTAAAGGGGTCATATGATGCAATTTAAATTTTTCCTTTCTCTTTTCGCGATCCGCTCTGAACAGCTGAAAGCCCGGCAGACTCAACGCGCTTTTAATACACACAGTGTGAATTAAATAATAAATAGGTTTTCAGTACAGTAGCATTTGATTCAGTACAGTAGCATTCCTTTACATGAATTCCTGCTGCAGCTACTGAAACTAAAACTGAAAAGTTGCTTCAGACTTTCCCTCAAGTTCCCTGCACAGCTTTATGCATTAAAATGAGCAAATATCCCTGCTGTCAAATAAAGGGGTTTTTCTCTTTGCTTAAAGAACAGCTGCCACACGAACATAGATTACACACCACTCACACACACACGTTTATTTACTTGCCCTTTAAAGAAAACTTGTTGGTATCTACAAACACTTTACTTGATATTAATTAATTTATTAATTTTAGGTCAAAATATTTATAAATAAATATTATTTGTATTTATTTCACTAACACCAAATAAAACGGTTTTTATTTTATTTTTATTTGCGATAATTATAAATAAATAATATTATATATACTTTACTATTACATTATATAA